CGCTGAACTGCAGATAACAGTCAGCTGAAGTGGCCTGCAGTACTGCACCCTAACCACTGCGCCACCTTGGCTCTAAAACCCATAGCCATGCATCTTGCCAGGATTGAGTTGAAGCCAATTCCTCCCCATCCAGAGATATATAATTAGATATTGTTAGCATACTGGTGATACTAAATTCCATACCAACAAATGCCAGAAGAAGACCTAGCAGCTTCATGCAGCTGTTAAAAGGGAGTGGCGAAAGGCTCTAGCATTGGGTCCCCACATTGCAGGGGCTAGGGCTTAACTTTTCAACTTCTACCAACCCTGATTGGAACAAGCCATGGAGGGATGAAGAAGAACCACTAGAACACAGTACCTCTCATTCATAAGCTTCAAAGCCAGTCCAGAAGGAGACTGTGGTTGATGGTATTGAATAGCCAGAGAGGCTCAGGAACACCAGAATGGTCACATCATCTCTATCCCATGTTCTCCAAAGGTAAGATCAAAACATAAGTCTAAGTTAGTAAAGCAGAAGTCGTCTGATATTTGCCTAGCCTCTATGCTAAAATACCTTAGATCGGTGTTTCTCAACCTTGTCAACTTGAAGGTGTCCAGACACCTTCAAGTTGACAAGGTTGAGAAACACTGCCTTAGATTTTCCAGTCGTAATCTATATATTCTCATCTTTGGGTATAACCTTTAACCGGGTGAAACAATGCATCATTTTTTAAACCAAGGTACCTCAAATGTGCTAACTTGCAGAACATGTCCAAAATCCAAAATCTGTGACACCCACGAAATTGAAATTTGACAAGTTTTATAAATATTTTGTAATATAAAAATTATCATAAAACATTTTATGATATAATACAAAATGTCATAAAACATTTCCTGCAGTCAACTCTTCATGTGTGATTATGCTATATAGAGTTCACCATGGCAGTTACATCTCTGAATATCTCGGTCCCTCCCTTTTCCAATGAAGGCATATATTGGAAGCTTGTTCATTGTTAAAGACATTGAGGGTAAGGAAATATCTCTGAAAATATGACCAAAGGAGTCACAGTTGTTTGGTATAACTCCTGTAACGTAATTTCATTTTATTTTGTTCAAGTGGCTGTTGTGACCAGCTGTCAAGTCATAAGTTAAAATAAGTCAGAACATCTTTTTGTTTTGTTATATCCTCCAGATTATTTGAAATTGGTGGGCTTTTTTAAAAATTGGCTTTGTCTAAACCCCTTAACACGTAAAGGGATTTTGAAACTGCCCTAAGACTCAGGCCATTATACAAGCTTAATAAATTGTAGCTATTAGTATTAATGCAATTGTTCAAACATATGTGTAGTTGAAATGAAATACTCATTTGCTATTTGTGAATTACTATCACTTTTGGGAGGAGGAGGTAAGATTTTAACAGACAGTTTAAAGAAAACTTCAATGAATAAATATCATTCAACAAAATTCAGCCACCCAGTAGCCATAAGGAAACATTCACTGCATTTCTTACTGAACAAAACAAAAAAGCAAGAGCCAGGCACTTAAAACCAGTTTTATTGTTTCATAAAAGCCCCCTTTTGATCTTCTTCTTTAGAGGCACTGCCTATTTGATTCGGCATCCTTTCCCAAATTTTGTCTCTTCGGAGCCGCAGCAGGCATCTCTCCCCGCAGATGAAAGGAGCTCTGGAAGGCCTCAGCATGGCAGCCTCTTACTTCTGTGGAGAGGAAAGCCTTGTCTTTTTGCCCCTCAGAAATATGGCCGGTCCGTGAAAATTTCCGTGCCCTTCACAAAGAAGGCCACGGAGGGAAGGGAAAATTAGCCGGAAGGCTGGGCAATAGAGGGGCGCGTTACTACCGGTTGTCTAGGAAACCACCAACAGCGTGAGCGGATAATACCTAGTGGGCGAGTGCCCTAAGAGATTGATGGGGGGAAGCCTGGCATAGCGGAGGGCGGGGGGAAGCGGTAGCCCATGGGGGAGAGCAAAGGGGCGTGCGGCTGGTGGCAGTTGCTACAAAGCTTGCATCCAGGTGAGGGGCGCGGTCATTGTTGGTGCAATGGATAGATAAAAGCCTAGGGATGACGTGGCCGGGAATGCTGCGTGGAATCCGGGCGGGTAGGAAGGCTTTTGGGGGCAGGAAATTGCAACGCGAAGAAAGGCTGAGTGGAAGGCAGCACCAGCAGCAGCGACCGGTAAAGCGGGGTGCAGAGCCGTTGTAGTCTACTAGATGGGCGTGGTTCCGGGCTGCAGGGCATGACTTAAGGATGCTGGGCTCGGTCGCGGAGCTGTCAAAAGAGACTTTGCAGTGAGCAGTTTTGATTCCACTACTGAGGGATGCTGCCTGGGGGTAAGTGATGACTCAGGACCGTTAGCATTGCCTAAAAAGGTTGTCGCTTAGGAAAAACTAAAACATAGGAGTATAGTAGGTCCTCTTTGATTGTTGGCTTTTTGTTCGTTGAATCAGATTCTGCTGATGTGTATGGAGATGTCCTCAGAAATTGGGAAACTGCTACCCGCATGGTTTGCTGCTGAGCAACTGCAGTTGCTCTGCTCCGTAAAACAGCTGTAATTATTTCCAGGGAAGCAGCAGTCATTGTACTATAAGATCCCTGAAAGGACAAGCAGGTCTCCGATTCTTTCTATGTAGTCCTTTAGCAAGCTTTAATCATTCATTACAAATTTTTCTCTTCAGAAGAAAGCAAATGTGTTTTTTCACAGCAGCAAGTTTTTAACAATGTGGTTCTGATTGGCATTTGGGAAAAGACAGGCACAATGTATTTTGCTCCTTTGTACTAGCCTTATCCAACCTAGCATATTCTAGATATATTGAATGTTCAGTCTTACTTTCTTCAGCCAGCATAGACACACTGACTGGATGAATATGGAAGTTGTCATCCAACACATCTGGAGAAAATCAAGTTAGGGAATATTCCTTTATACTTTCTCCTATGAGATGTATTGGTTTGTGTACAATGTTGTGTGGCTTGAATCTGAGATTAGTTTTGAAGTCTTGGTTCACTTCCCAGTTATTATGCTGCTAGTTTTCCCATTTAATATAACATAGTAAGTGAGCACTCCTCTTTTTATAATCTTGGCTTTATTACCTATGGATGAAAAAGGCTATTTTCCGCCTAAATTAACTTCTATAAATCAAAAAGCAATCTAAAATGAATCGGGGATGTTATAAAGAAAATAGAACATAACATCTTTTGTCGTTGCTTCATTGTACATGTGATTATTGCTCTGGAACCTCTTGGTTTTTACACTTGGAATTACTGTCTTTGTGTAATATATACCAGTATGAAAAATGATGCCCATGCTTAGCTTATCCAATGGTGTATGAGAATGACTCTAACAGAGGATTCGGGATAAGTGTATAACACAAGTATGCTGAATAGATAATCCACTAATAGGAGACGTTTGAGGAATATGGCCACCGCCGAGACTGAGAAGTGAGCATTTTTCCCATATACTATTACTGCTTACCAATCATTTGTGACTCATTCTTCCTCAAAGGATTACAGCCAGAACATATAGAGCAAAGCAACAGAAATGCAGGCAGAATATTAATGTGTTTCCCTATACTGGATAGATAAATATCTGAAAAATATAATTATTTTTATAGTTGATGTATCTCCAAATGTTGCCCCTGAAGAATTAACAATAAAGACAAGTTGGGCATGTAGGATGAAAGAAAGCTTAAGTAGTAATAGCTTTTAAAACATGTAAATATGACTATTGTCGCTTCAAAAAACATTATTATTTTTGTAATGTTTAAAGTTCCAGCAGTCTTTGATTTCTCCACAAGCAATCATATAGCCATTCATTTCTTACAGAGGAAAGGATGGTTCTCACCATGTCAACCATAAGTAATTCCTATAGCAGCAACAATTATCAGTAAGGAATCAGTTTCCTTATGTAGTGTTGCCCACTTTTTCTTTCCTAGCCTTTATTGACTTTCAGCATTTAATACATAGGAATATAACAAATGCAACAATACCCAACTCAGGCTATTGAAGCTGTGATGGACAAAGCAATTCAGAACTACAGAAGCCTTGTGAAGTCAGAGAAACTGATAGAATCTCAGAGACACGAGACTGTTAGAATCTATTCCACAGTTGATCCAATTCAATAACCATGTAAATGTTCCAACTGTTTGAAAGAAAGACAGTAACTCTACTACACTTCACTGCTATTAGTATTCAATTCAAATTATTTCCTTCTGATTACCTGCTATGGAAGGGTGATCTGCATCTTTGAATTGATCCAACTGCACTCTTTTTTGATGGAGATCACCCAGGTTGTGCCCACAGTTATTACAGATAAATTGCAGTCATGAATGTTTCATAAGTGGAGCCCTTTTGCTCAACTACATTTAAATCTAGTCCAGTGAAATAAAACTAATAAATTGTAGCCACCTAAGATGTAAGACTTAAATTTATTGTGTAAGGATTGGATATGCTTTCTAGTGAAAGTATGAAGTTGCTATATATACAACTGGCATTGGGAAATACCTGTAGAATGAAAGTCAGTCTGGTGTGTGAGAACTCTTATTACTATATCAATATTATTTGAGGGAGGATTCCATAAGAGTAGCATATCACAATCTATGTTTAAGAAGGTTATTCTTATATGTTTAGGATATAAGAATGGTTGAACTGGAAGTGATCTAGTTCAATATTGCACTGAAGTTCATCTGAATAAAATTGCAGAATATTAATGGAAACAGTAGTTTCCATTTATTATGACTCAACTCTGAAATACAATGGCTAGCATTGTCCATTCATATTCTTTTAATTTAAGGTATCATGGTATACTATACCATATCATGGCAGCACATATTATAAGTGATGCTTGAGCAGAATCTGAAGGATTGTCTGGGACACTACACACCCTCTTCATTACCTGTTTTCCTTGTTACCTTCTGGGAGGAGACTTCATGGTGTACAAAGCAAAACTTCTACATTCAATAACAGTTTGTTCCATATAGCATCAACCTCCTGAACTCTCAGGTTTTCCCCTACATATTCAAAACGGACAGTGATTAATATATATGTATGGTGTAATGTCTGTCTATGGTGCCAGTATATATTTATGTATGTATATAGTATGCCTATATTTGTGTTATATATGTGGGTAGATATACACTTTCTCTTAAGAGCAGGCAACAGAATTTCATTTTTAATGTGGACCGATATGCTCGCAGTAAAAAAAATGACAATAAAGTTATCTTATGTGTGCAGAAGAGGGGAGGTAAGGAAATATGGGATTAAAATTTACTTTTATCACTCTGAGGGGAACTGTCTGATTTGAGGCCACTATCGGCAGTATGCTACTATTAGTATTTTAGAAGTAATTCTCACATCAAAAAATCACTACATTGTTTTAGAACAGGGCTGTCAAGCTCCCAGCCCATGGGCCAGATGCGTCACATGCTGGCCATGCCCAATTTAGCGAAGGGGTGGGAACTCCCAATATGTCACATGACGACACCGTGACGACATGAGTTTGACAGCCCTGTTTTAAAAAGATCTTAAGTGGCATAAATATGAAAGTACAAAGATTGGCATTTTGTTAATGTTTCAAAGTAAATTTTCACATGCCATTTTAAGCAATATACATTAGAATAACCTGAACCATAGGGTGATATCTGGCTAGCTGGAATTTGGACAGCAGCACTCTCCAGTGCTATATTTTGTTTCAGCCTTAAATACATTATTGTAGTATTTCACTAACCCATTCTTATTTTGTCAGAAGAACATTTGGAAGTAATGAGCCAGTCATCAAAATAATGTGCCTGTATCCATATAACATATACCCGTGATGGTGAACCTATGACACGCATGCTGGAGATGGCACACAGAGCTCTCTCTGTGGGCACGCGCTGTTGCCAGCTGCTCTTCTGGTTTCTGGCCAGCTGGTTTTTGCGGGCACCGGAGTTCCGGAAAATGGCCTGAAAAATGTCCAAAAATAGCCATTTTCAGGCCATTTGTGGCCTGAAAAACGGTCCAAAATAGTCTGGTTGTTGGCCATTTTTCGGGCTGTTTTCCGGTGCTCTGGCACCAATGAAGACCAGCTGGCAAGCGTGCATGCAGACGTGTTTTGGTTTGGGCACTTGGTGCCAAAAAGTTTTGCCATCACTGACATATGTTGTCAATTTGGTCATTAAAATTCTTAGTCTTCAATACCATAAAATATTAATAGTATTAATGCACAGTTATTTCATAATTTAATGAGAAAATACATAGCCCTTTCTTGGTTTGGGATTAAATTACTTCCTATATAAGCTAATTAGGCACTTCAAGCTATGAATGTATGTACTAACTACGTAACTGCAATACTTTCTAAAATATATTGTAATGTTTGCTAATATCATCCATGAAATGAATACTACGATTTTGTGATGTTTGTGCAGCACCAGAAATGTTGTTTGGCTTACTATCAAGCTCAGGCATGGCTATTTCTTATGTGTGGAACCAAACCTAATAAAATATGTTTGCTCTGATTTTAGTGATAGTTAGATGACTTTGGACAAAGGACTTATAGGAGGCCCTTACTTGCTTATTTCAAAATGGGGCAAGCTAAGTCTGCTATAGGAAGAAACAGTGTGCCCCACCCTTTTTCTTGACAGTACTCACCTTTCTCATTCGTAGTGCCACAGTTTTGTAAACATAAACTCCATTCCCTCCTAGCAGTGATGAAGTTACCTAGTTTGGTAATAAAACATCTACAAGAAAACCATGAAGCTCAGAGAGCACCAAGGATCCCACAGTTTTGCCAGTGTTTCTTCTCCCCTTTCATTCTTGTTTTCATTTTCCTGAACCTTCTATTGCAGCTGCTATCCTGTCTTCCTGAAAGTTAGTATCATGACCTTGACTAAAGGCTCATTCACTTACTCCAGTGGAGAGGAATACTGTGGAGAATGGAAGGAAGGTAAGTGAATTTTTCATCAGTTTTACTTGTAGGACCCTACTTGGGAATGATACATACTATTTTTATTACTATGAAGAATTAAGCCAGATAATTTTTTCTATTGTCATTATGAAATAGAATAAATTGTTTTGAAATTGGTTAGATCAGGAACTCTATTAAGATGAAGTTATGAAAATGACCATAGAACAAGTAAAGAGTGTCAAAGTGTAAAAGAAGGGGAACATTCTCAATATTTGTCTCAACAGAGCAAAATGAAAGAGCTTATTTATTTTAAACATATATTAGATGCACAAGTATAAAGGAAAGATACTTCAAATCTGTACACATCTGTAAACAGAAATTTGGACTGAAAACAAAGCAATTGGAACCTACAAATGCAATACTATTAGTCATTAACAATAAATAGTATTTATACTACTTTTTTCAGAAACAAGAAATACAATATGTACCTTGTGTTCATACTGTATTTCTAAAATTGGAGAATTACGCTGTGCTTAAAAACAATTGCTATCATAGTTATAGCTGGTGAAAGGAATCCATGCTCTTGCCAGAATACCTCTGATATCTTTCATAAAAGGAGCTTGCAATAATAAGGAACTACAGGTGACTAGAAGTGATTCAACCCATTTAACAAAGAAGATGCTTGCATAGCTTTTAGAAAAGGATGGCTATAAACTCTTTATTTCAACTTTGCAGTAGCTTCTGCAAGAAACTGTCTTGACTATTGCAAAGAATGGCTCTATTAGGATAGGCAACAAAGAACATACTGTAAGCTTCATCCTGGTGAGAGAAGAGCTTCTAAATCTAGTTTTGCAAATAGGTTTTCTTTGAAAAGATGTCTAAGAATAATATGTTCCTCACCCAGATACATTTATTAGGAGATGGAGATGACCCCCTTCATGATCCCTATACAGTTTACTATTGGTTACTAATGATTTGAGTACATCAATATGCTTAATAGTATCATGTGAGATTTGCACGTCATACAATATATAAATCTAGGCAGCAATATGATTATTGCTTGGAGTTAAACTGATGTTCTCCAGTCACTTGTGTTATCTGACAAGATATAGGACAGTTAACAAAGGTAAGCCTTTTCCTAATGCCAGCAATGAACAAAATCCTAAAGTGGAGCAACTTTAGGAATTTTGATTCAATGTAACTTTTACTCTTACCTTATGACTATATGAAGAGTAAAGCCTTGAAGTAAAGGATTGAGGCATATAAACCTCAGTGACGTGCGGTGAGGTTTATGGCCAATGTTCCCTCTAATTTTTTTTCAGTGTGAGCGGAAAAGTATAGTGTTTGAGCGGCATATTTTCATGCCT